AATGGCCCATCTCCCAGTCACACCCACCACCCTTGCCCAGTAATTCCAGCCATGGAGGATAAACACTGAGGCCTTCAGAATGTATAAGAACTACGCTGTATTATTGAAACAACCAGAGATACTATTCTGAACTTGTGTCTTTTGGCTGGAAGTTCTTAGACAAAGGGAGATCACTCTTTACTGAATCTTACTCCCACTGAGATTTCATGACTGTCGGAGGTCCTGAATGTGGCTGGGAGACAGCTCCTTTTTCTCCAAGCCAAGATGGCTTCTAACCAGGAAATCTCAGAACGCCTGCTTATTTCCTTCCCTTGGCTGCCCCTCTACTCCAGGTCCCCTTCTCTCCTGCCACCACTGCCTTCCCATTCCTTCTTTCTCTTCTCCTCTCTCTCTCTTTCTCAGCAAGTTTTTTATGTGATTACAGGCACTGCATGGTAATTAGTGCTAAACTCATTTGCACAACTACAGTTAATTGGCTACAACAATTAATTAATGTGTTGGAAATTTGGCACTGGAAAAAAAAAAGTTTGTCATCAAAAAAAAAGGGCAAAAAATTGTAGAGTGAGATACCCATAAAAATCGAGGGCAGGCTTCAAAAGCCCAGCTGGGCCTCAAACTTCAACCCGGCCTCAGATGCCTTCCCACTCTCAACTCCAACACATTTTCCTCTTTCCTCTTTCATTTTTTCCGTCTTCCTTTCTTTCTCTATTTCTCTTCTCACTCCCATCTTTTTTTTTTTTTTTTTTTTTTTTTTTTTTTTACAACTTAAGCAAACTCATTTCCCTGATAAAATATAGCATGACTAATGGCTAGAGCATGTAAAAATCATTGGGAAAATGTCCTTGGAAGACGAATGCATTTTCAGCAGAATAATTAACTTAATTAACAAATTCACATGCATATTCATCAGGCTATTAATGTCTTCTCGGCTCAGCTTGATGAACATTGCGGTAATAACCATCTCATTTACATACTGCATTCTACTGCGATCCAAAACAGAGACAACATACAGGCGTATACACACACACACGCACGCACACACACACACTTGCACGAATACACACAACATGTCTGGGCCGCTTTGACTTCCAGGTTGGCTGGGCGTGTGTGTACGTGTGTATGCGCGCGCACGTGTTTGGTGTGTGTCGGTGGTGGGTGTCTGGGAACTCCAGCTGGGTGGCGTGATCTTTAGAGGGTCCTGAGTTGAGGTAGGCTAGAGTTGCCCACATGTGAATGTCTGAGAACTTTAATTCTCTCTGTCTCTGCCTCTCTGCCTCTTTTTCCTTGTTTCTTTTTCTCTGTGTCATTTTCTCTCTTCTTCTCTTGCCACCCCCCCCCCACCATGTCTCTAGGGAAAAACTTGGTATCCGTGCCAACTTTTCCCCCCCTACCCTCCTCCCTCTCTCCTCCTTCCCCTCTCCCAACTGCTGCCAGCCGGCATCAGCGCCGAATTGCCATCTCCTTGAGCTCTCTGTGGAGCAATCTCAGAGAGCAGTAAGGTGTGACGCGGGGCTCTGCCGGCTTCGCAGCACCGCCTGCGGAAAGAGCGCAGGATGGCGGAGGAAGATTAAGAGAAATCTCGAGCAGGGCTCGGCTGCCATTGGTGTGTGCAAACGCCGAGGAGGAAGGGAGAGGGAGAGCGAGGGGGGGGGTGGAAGGGGGGGGGCACCAGCAGCTGTCGGCCTAATTCTCCTAACACTCTGCTTGTGGTCATATTAGAAAAACAGATTATGCCCCTCGGTGCCACTCACTTATACTTGACATACGTTAATGTTCTATATCTCCATTCTCGAGTCTTGACAACAGTGGACTTTAGGTCGAGGAGAGGATAGGAGTCTGGGTCGCCAAGGGGCACAAAAGACCCTGCCCTCTCATTCTCTCCTGACCTTCAACCCCAGCCTGTACTCGCTCTTTAGAAAGCAAGCCTGGACATAGAATTTGCATCTGATGCCACCATTTGCCCTTGCTTTTTTGCAGTCCCTTAGGAGGTGCAGAGGTCAGAGGACGCTTGAAAGCCCTTTCCCCAAAAAGTCACTCCTCTTTAGAGTCTTAATAGGTCACTTCAGGGCCCAGTGAGGCCAGCTCAACGGCACTCCCACCCTTAATATTTCTATGCCCCCCCCAAATCGGAAGTTGGGGGTCAGAGAAAGGAGTCCATGACCGTTGGTGCTCCATGAGGGGTTATAGAAAAGCCATAAGCAAAACAAGGCCAGGATTGTTTCTGGGTTGCTATGGAAACCAGGTTCCCTCCTCCTGGCAGGAAGGGAGGAGAGCCTGAGGCCTTCCTCCTTCCACCAATCCGGAAGGCTGTAAAGGCGGAGTTTACCAAGGCCTGAGGGAATAGAGCTGTTCTTGGAGGAAGAACCAATCATTCCCGCAGCCCTGCCTGCCAGTCCATAGCCCTTTGACCCCCACCTTCCCTACCCTTTCACCTCAATATTCAAAAGAGGCTTTTTCCTCTGTGCCTTGTCCTCTATGGAGACCTGTTGCTTAGCAACCACAAGTGCCTTCTTCCCAATAACTTGCAGGGACTAAGAGATAAAATATCTGTCTATATTCAGTTCCCCTCCCCTGTCTATTTATATTTAATAACCCAAGCCCTGTCTTGGGTTCCCTTGGCACCTGTTTTAGAGGGATTCTAGAGGGATTAAGCTGCAGCCTGAAGGAAAAAAGTTACATCCGAGGAAGAACTTCCAAACAGGGAAGAGTGGGAGAAAGGACTGGAGTAGGTAGGGAAGCCGTAGAATCATATTCTCTTAAATATAGGCAGGGTGGGGGCGCCCGGGTGGCTCAGCGGGTTAAAGCCTCTGCCTTCAGCTCAGGTCATGATCCCAGGGTCCTGGGATCGAGCCCCACATCGGGCTCTCTGCTGGGCGGGGAGCCTGCTTCCTCCTCTCTCTGCCTGCCTCTCTGCCTACTTGTGATCTCTGTCTGTCAAATAAATAAATAAAATCTAAAAAAAAAAAAATAGGCAGGGTCGGGGGGAAGTATTTAGAACTTGGAATGTGGGGAGGGGATGTCCGTAGGGATTCCCAAGTGTCCACTTAGGACCTGGAGTGGACCCTAACAGAACAACTAACTGGGCTGGCACTTTTCAGTCCTCCCCCCCACCTTGCCCCCTTTTCCTGTCTAGAGTCTCCTCATATTTATGTGAGAGGCCCATCCCTCTGGAGATGTCCAGTTTCCTAGTGTCTAGAAGTTGGTTTCCAAGAGTGAGGGCTGTATAAATTTATGTCCACCAGGCCTAGGTCTCTCCCAAAGTTTGTCAGTCACAGGGAAGGAATTCTTCTGAGTTATCTACTAGAGAACCCCAACTGACCCAGCAGTGGGGGATATAGAGTATCACCAAAAATGAGGAGCAAGGAAGGTATAAGTATAGCCTAGTGGTGCATGTCGGAACACCTGGATTAGGGCCCCCTCTCCTTATTCTCCTGTGATCCAAGTTATTCACTTAATCTCTTAAACTCCTTGTTGGGGCACCTGGTGGCTCAGTTGCTTAAGCATCCAACTTCTAATTTCGGCTCAGGCCATGATCTCAGGATCGTGAGATTGCCTCACTTTGGTCTCGACACTGGGCATGGAGCCTGCTTAAGATTCTCCCTCTCCCTCCAACCCCCCCAAACCCCCCAACCCGCTTGTGCACATGCATACTCTCCAACAAAAATAAAAATAAAACTGCTCATTGCTTTGTCTATAGATCAAGAATAACAATGTTTACCTCCCTAGACTTTAGTGAGATCAGTTAAAGCGATATTGAAAGGAAACACTCTGAAAACTGCCAAATTTAAATAAATATTATTTTAAGGTCTGGAAAAGGTCTGACTCCTGGGAGCAGGGGGGCATCATGAATCCAGCCCTTGCCTTGGCCTAGGAACACCAATAGTTTCTTGGCCAGAGGGGTGTGATACTTTGCTCTATGGTCAGTCAGATGGGGAGCTATAAATCAAAATCAGAAACACAGGGCTCTTTAGGGAAAGTAGCACAGAACATCCCTATCATCTTCCCCACCTCCAATCCCAGATTCTGACCTCTAGTTCTCCCAGCCGACACCCCACCCTGACCCCTCCCAGTCAGCACCTTCACTGTCGTCATGCTAGATCACAGACTGTACAATTTCACCCTCCATACCCCCCTTTTCAGCACCTCCTCCAACCCGAGCCTTCTGTGGGAGACAGATGGGGTGTCTGCGATGGAAAAGGCTCTGGGCTGTACGCCGCCTTGGGTGAGCAGCCCCCCTTCCCATCTCCCCACTACTCCCGCTCCCTACCTAAGACACTGAGATTCACCCCGGGCAGCTTTGGGGAGCTGCTGAGGATTCCAATGCTCTTCCCTTCTCAGACTCAGCCCAGAAGCAGAGCCAAAGTGACATCTTTCTCTGAGACCTAGACCCCAGCCCGTCTTCATGGAAAACCAATGCAAAGGAGGAAGTATATTAGGGAATGATAGGGCTCCATGTGAAGGGACTAGTAGAGGAGAGGCCGGGAGGGGGGGCGGGGGGCACGCACAGAGTCCCTCACTGAGGACTGGATGGCTGGGGTTTGGGGCCTGAATTGACTGAGGAGGCTAAGACTAGGCAGCTCCTTTGTTCCAGAAATCTGGGGTCCCTGGAGGGAGGCTCAGCTTGGGGAGGGGGAGAAGGGAGCTAACATTATACAGAGCACCAACTGTGAGCCAGGCACAATGCCAGAGCCTTCCCATACCTGTACTCACAACTAGCAGGTGAGGAGTCAGGGTGAATAGGTGTCTCATGAGCTCTCAGCATCTCTCAGCACAGTTGACCAACTTCTCTGATTCTATGATTTCACTCCCAATTCTTCTACCACTCTGGCTGCTCTTTCTCTGTCTCCTTTGCAAGCTCATCCTCAACTCCTTTGGCTCAGCCAAGTCCCCTGATTATATACTTTCACGGTACTATATATTCTTCTTTCAGAGCACTTAGCACAGTGATTTCACACTTATTTGTGCAGTCATTTGAATAATAATCCTATTTCCTCCACCAGATGGAAAGTTCCACGAAGACAGTGACCACGTCTGTCTATATTCACCAGTGTGCTCCCAGTGCCCAGCACAGTGCCTAGCATAAAGCAGCTGTTTGGTAAATATTTGTTGAATGAATGAATAAATGACAAAAGGACATTACTCTGGCCTAACCTCAGTTCTTAGCCATATCCTCACCCCAGAGTGGATGTACCCCTAATGTGTGGACCAGAGAACAGGGTGCCCGGGAGGTCAGGCCACCTCATTCTCCTTGGGGAAAAAAACAAAAACATCAGGACTGGAATAAACCAAGTTCCAGAATATGGGCCCCCTGCCTTACTAGCACCTAGACCTGCCTGTATGCTCTCTAGCTTCTCCAAGAATGGAGAGAATTCAAAGTCCCAATAACTTCTCTCCATTTGTGCCTGAAATCACTCGTGAGCTGGAGGAGAGGAGTTCCATCGGAAAAGAGTGCTCTGCAGAAAACCCCTCTTTTCTCCCTTAGCTGAGACTGGAGAGACCATCTGTTGCCACTCCTTTGTTTGCTTCTGTCCTCTTCCCCTGGACTTCAGGGAAGGGGATCGTTTGATCAAGTGGGAGGGATAGATGGTGAGAGCAAGACAATCTGCTTGTTCCTTGAAACGTCCGGGGTAATGTTGATGAGCCTCAGCCAGGTGATCGGATCCGAGGAACACAGGACCCAGCAGCCTCAAGTCCTTTGAGGCTATACTCTGGACCCTGGGAAGCAGGGAGTGGACAGAATGACCTCTGGGAGGTGCCCAGTGTTCACCCCAGGGGCTTTATCTGACCCCTTTGCTTCCCTTGCCATCTGACCTCAAACAAAATACCCAAATCTGCAAGAAGTTAATGTTGGGCCACGGGTGGCAGCCCCTTGTTCTCCCTGGCCGCTTCCCATTCTAGCCAGCAGCCCGTCCCAGAGCATCTCTCCCTCCCAGCTCGGCATCAGTACCCGGTCCTCACCCAGTCCCTTGTCCTGACAGTACCCCTCAGCACCCAGGTACTTGGGGTCATGGATCTGGAAGCCACTTTAGGCAGTGTTGCTCTCTCTGACCCCACCTGTTCTTTGGGCCCCTAATGAAGTAGGACAACTCAGGCTCTGGGCCAAGTCCCTATGTCCTCATCAAACGCAACATCTGTCTCCTCGAAGAAGATAAGCCTGGAGGGAGGGAGGTGGGACAGGCACAGGGGAGAAACCCCAGTCCTGTCTGGGCCCTCACCCCAGATTCCACTGCAGGCACAGATTGAGGGTGAGGGGGTCAAGACAGCCACAGAGGCCTATTCTCACGCATGCCCCTGCACAGATCTTTATGCTTCTGAGCCCCCAAATATGAGGGCCCCTCCTGGGCTCACCCGGCTACCTGGGCTGCTGCTGCCGCCAAGCCGGCCTTCTTTTATTCATGCGTTGTTTTATTGCTGGCAAATGCTGCTGCTTGCTGCTGTTGGAGGCGTTCCTGCCAAATCCATCCCAACATCTTGGCCTGGCATCAGGGCGGCATGCTAATGTGGAAATTTAAAGAGCCGCTCAGCTTTAAATCGGAATTTTAAATGAGCAGCAGTGCTCCAGAGGGACCCAGGCAAAATCGAGCAGTATCTGATGCACCCTTCCTACTCCCACTCCTGTAGCATCACCCTACCTCTTCTTGCCTCTCCCCTGGACTTGGACACTAGATGAGGGAGAAGCATGGGACACACTAGGGGACGAGGGAGTTACCAGGGCAGAGGAATTGATGCAAGACGGCCATTGAAGCCAATAAGGAGCTGTGATCCCTCAGCTCGGACCAAGAAATCCACCAGTTGCTGTCATGGGCAAATGGAGGCAGGGACCTTCAACACAAGGGAGCAGGGTTGGGGATGGTGAAACTGACATTCCTACCCCTCTTCCCATTTTACCAGGAAACAAGAAGAGAAGACCCAGAGCAGAGAAGAGAGAAGGTGGGACTCCATAAGGACACTCACGTGCAAGCATACACTTGCACACGCCGGATATGTGCATACAGCTGTGTGTGCAGGTCAGGATGCTTGCTGAGGCCCCCTGCAGCACGTGCACACACGCTCACTTATCACCCATGCATGGAGAAGAATGATTCACGTATGCAGGGCAGTCTTCCCACATCCAGACCACTGATCTGCAGGTTGTTAGCCTGAGCTATGCCCCAGGTTTTCCATGAATCCTAATGCACCAATGTTCCCCAGCTCCTGGCAGCTACCTTGAGTCAGCCACGGTGATGACAGAGCCTCATAGTGGCTCTTCCAGGAGAGGGGCTGGGGATACCTGTGCTCATCCTATGCACCTGTCCTGGCTGCAGTGTGGTCCCTTCTCTGGTGGCCATCAGATGACAGGCTCAGACATCTCATTTGGGAGAAGCACCGGGCACAGACTTGATTTCAGAGAGAAGAGGAGGCTAATGGGAGGTGAGAGAGGCAGAATCTGTGCCTCTCTGTGACCCCCTTTCCTTCTTACCTGTTTCCAGGAGACAAGTGGCCCCTCGTTATAAAGAAAACATTTGTCAAGTGCCTACCCTCAAGGAGATACTGTTTAGCACAGTGCCTCACAATTTTCTGAGCTGGGCTGATGACAGATGCAAGAATCTGGATGTGCTATCCCCATTGGAGGATCCACAATAATTCTCATGGTAACCTCAGCCTTACCCATGTTAGACTGCGAGACCAAGGGATGCTTTCTGACCTTCCCCAGGAATCCCCCCTCTCTCAAAGAAGCCAGCTCCTTCACGGATTGGTGTGGCTGCCAGCCAAGAGGCTTGGGGCAGGCCTTGGGGCATGCAGCTGGCACCTGCCCACCAGATCCCCAAGGAGGACCTCCTCCCTCATCCTATAGCCCCATTCAGATGGCCCCTGGGCTACAGGGAGGCAGGGCTCCCTGCTCCCCACTTCAAGCTGGAGCACCCACCACCTCCCTTTCCACTATAACCTGCTCCCAGATCCCCCATCCAGACTAGATATACCAAAGACCCACCAGGTACTTCTTCTAGTCTGGATCAAACACTTAATACAATAGGAGTTGTACTGGGGCTGGGTAAGAGGCCTTGAGGGGTAAGGCTTGGGCTAGAATTATGGGAGAAATTGCTGAGGTCAAGAGATGGACGAAAAAGCTCTGGGGCACCTGGGTGGCTCAGTTGGTTGAACATCTGACTCTTGATCTCAGTTCAGGTCTTGATCTCAGGGTCGTGAGTTCAAGCTCCCCACTGGGGTCCATGCTAGGCATGAAACCTACTTTAAAAAGAGAGAGAGAGAGATGGATGAGGAAGAACTCAATGCGAGTGACATAGGACAGGGGGACATGAAGGGAGGAGGCTAAGTGAGTCTGCCTCTCTCATCTAATTAGCAACATGCAAATAATATGCAAAGCACTCCCTCTTTGTTTAGAGACCACTGTGTTTTTGGATGTGGGCTACAGAGGGGCCACCAGGCAGCATCTCTGAGACCCAAAGACATGGAATACCCAGGCTCAAAAGAGAGGCCAGAGTGCAGCCATCTTGTAGCTTATTCCCTGGATGCACTCATTTTCTATGGGCCTCAATTTCCCTGTGTGTGAAATGGGAGGACTGGCCTGGATGGTCCTAAGGCCTCTGACCAGTACTGACAGTCTCGGGTTTTCTGATTTGGGGCCCAATGCTGCATGAGTTGGAGGGTTGATTCCATTCTGGGGTGGAAACTACTTGGCCCTCTTGCCCGTGCCACTTACCTCACCAGTCCTGCAATGCCATGCCCTTCATGCTCATGCACCCGCCATCCCAAACGTGGACAGTCTCCTGAAGACAATATTCTCTCCCACTCTCTTACCCACAGGGTTTCCTCTCCTTGGAATGGCATTCCTGCTTTAGCCTCTACCCTGGCTAGCCCCTTCTCCAACTCTAACAGCCCTACCTACCTTCCTCTTCCACCTCTGGGCATCCCTATGCACTGTTTACTTCTCTCATTTCCCATTAGACTGTGAACTCATAGAGGGAAGGTACTGGGTTTAGTTCAAGACGGAATCTCCAGTGTAAATGTCTTAGTTTTCCAAGGCTGCTGTAACAAATCATCACAAACTTGGTTGTTTAAAAAAAAAAGAAAGAAAGAAATTTATTCTCTTACATTTCTGGAAGCCAGGAGTTCAACATCAGTTTCAATGGGTGAAAATCAAGGTGTCAGCAAGACTGTGCTCTCTCTCGGGCCCTAAAGGAGAATTTGTTCTTTCAGCTTCTAGTGGCTGTTGGCTTTTTTTTTTTCTTTTTTTTTTTTTTTTGATGCTTGTAACTGCCTCACTCCCAATTTCTACCTCTGTCTTTACATCACCTTCTATTCTTCTCTTGTCTGTATAACCTGCCTTGCCCTCTCTCTTATAAGGACACTTGTGGTAGCATTGAAAGCCCACCCAGATGATCCAGGATAATCTCTGCATCTCAAGATTTTTAATCACATCCACAAAGATCTTTTTTTTTTTTTTCCAGATAAGGTAAAATTCACAGGTTCCAGGGATTAAGAGGTGGACATATCTTTGGGAGCCACTATCAGACTATCAAGATAAATGAAGACATCTTTAAAATTACCATTTGTTAAGCAACTACCATGTGCTAGACATCATACATTAATTTTTCTCAATCTTCAATAGCCCTGAAAAATCGATTTTCTAAAAAGACTCATTTACTTATTTATTTATTTATTCATTTGTTTGAGAAAGAGAGGGAGCGAGTGGAGAAAGGGCAGAGGGAGAGAATATCCAAACAAACTCCCACTGAGTACAGAACCTGGCGGGGGGCTCAGTCTCATGACCCATGAGGTCAGGACCTGAGCCGAAACCGAGTTGGATGCTTAACCTACTGAGCCTCCCAGGTGCCCTGAAATGTAGTTACCAATGCCTCTACGCTACAGAGGAGGAAACTGAATGAGGCTCAAGGAGATTGAATCACTTCCCCAAACTCACATAGCTGAGAAGTGACAGAGCCAGGATTTGAAAGCAGATGGGTCTAGCTATAAAGCCAGCATGATTTTTGCCTTCCCAATGGTCTCTGAGCCCATCCCAGGTCCTAGCACTAATTTCTCACCTGAATCGTGCAGAAAAGAGGTGGACAAAAGAAGGAAAGATGAAACCCAGTCTTCCTAAAGATATTGACTCAAGCTTTCTTTTGCCAAAGCCCCTTCCCACTCCTTTAATCCTCCCCATCACCCCTGAACCCTTGTTTCAGAAGCCTGGAATCTCCCCCAGTTGGCAGCCCCCTGCCAGCTACAGCTGCCCAGAAGGGTGGCACAGTGCCTGAACTTCAGACAGGAGACATCAAATTGCAGAAGCAGAGGGGCCTCTGGATGTCACCTCTTCTGGCTGTCTCTGCTCATATATACGTCTGCCTGTGAGGACAAGGTAGATGGGTCCGGCTAGTGGGCAGCAGAAGGGGAAAGTAGCCATCTCTTCCTTCAGGTACACTTTCTGCTCACTTCCTACATGATTTGTATTGGGAAGTCCTTACTTAGGTCTAACCTTCCAGATACCATGCTGTAACGAAAGCTGGCCAGAGTCAGAAGTCCTAGATTGTCCAAAACATAAAATTGGATTTTGGATAAGTCTGTTTACTTCTCTGAGCCTCTGACTCTTCATCTTTAAAATGGGATTGAGGGTGCCCCTCAGTGGCTCAGTCAGTTAAGCACCTGCCTTCCGCTCACGTCATGATCCCAGGGTCCTAGGATGAAGCCTAGAGCTCCCTGCTCCCAGAGAGCCCGCTTCTCCCTCTCCACCCAGCTCAGTGCTCTCTCTTGCTATCTCTGACTCTCTCTCCCTACCTCTCTTAAATAAATAATAAATAAATAAATAAATAAATATTCTTTAAAAATAAAATGGGATTGAGAATAATGGTAATGGCAGTAGTACCCGTAATAATAACCGTCTCCCAGGGTTGTTGGGGGGGGATAATAGCACAGTCCAGGCCTAGAGGAAAGCAGGTGCCACGGGATTATTTTGTAAGAGTCCCTCGGCCCTCCAGACGAAGCCCCTTCATCCTGGGTAGTACAGGGTTTTGCTCACCTCAGCCAGTCTGGTCTGCCTTGCGCGCTAGACTGTGAACTCCTCTTGGCAAGACTTCGTTCATTTTTTATCACAGCCCATTATCCTCCCCGGTGTCTAGCCCGTGCTTGGGTACGTAGGTTCAATCTACATTTGATAAATAAAGAAGTGAGGGTATGTCCCGAGAGAAGTGAGAAGTCCCGAGAGGCACAGGGCCGAACTCCCACCACTGACCCTTTGGACACGACCCTTCCCCCCCGCGCCCCGCCCCGCCCCGCCCCGCTCCGCCCCAGGTCCAGGAGGCGGTGGCGGCGAGGAAAGGAGGTGCTGCAGCTTTAAGATTCCTCTCGGGCGTCCCGGTTGCCAAGGCGCGGTTGCCAAGGACCTGCGCGGAGCTGCGTCCGGCCTCCGCGCGCCGGCCTCGGGTTTCCTCCGCCGCCGCCGCCGCAACCGCCGCGGCCGCCGCCGCCGGGCCGCGCCGGGCTCGGCTCCTCCGAACCGTCTGGCGGACTTGGCACCGGCCCCGGCTCCTCAGTGCCCCCGCGGTGCGTGGCAGGCTGCGGCTTCATTATCCTGATTGATTCCTCCTGCTCCCCGACACCGTGGGGGCCCCGGCCAGGGAAGGGGGGCCGAGGCGGCATCTGCGGGCCCCTTCGCCGGCCCTCGCCCCCAGCCGCTCCTCGGGCTGCCGTCACCTCGGAGCCCTGCTGCGGCCAGGCCAAGGAAGGAGGGCCGGGCCAGCCTATGCCTCCCTGGTGGGCGGGGAGAGCCCCGAGGAGGAACGGAGCTGTGTCCAGCTGGGTTCGATGCAGTGGCCCAAGGCGCCCGCCCTGGGCCATGAATGCTGCAGGTCTCCGGGTCTGCCCTCAGCAAAGGTTTTGCGCCTTCCCCAAAAGGGAATGCAGGATTTGGGGTGAGGAGGGAATACAGTGATGGACTGAGAACTTCAGGAGAATAGGCTTTGGCAAAATGGGAAAGGTGACATCTTCTAGGAGCACTGATCACGTGGACCAAGCCCGGGTGACTCCTGTCTTATCCCATGCCTCCCTGGATGCCTTAACTGCAGTTCTCAGGGGAAGCAGGGACAGGGTCTGCCCAAACAGCACAGGAAACGGCAAGGATCTGTGCTCGAAGTTAGGTCAGGGGCCTCTGTGAGTTACAGAACCTGTGCCCAAATATAGCAGCGGGTGGTCGGGCCACAAAATCGTGGCCCCCCCCTAAAAAGCCGAGTGTTGAGGTGAGGTCTCAGTGGAAGGAGTATCTGGGGCCACGCCTGAGATTGGAGGGTCTTCCTAGTTCTGCCACGGGGTTTGTGACTTGGGCAAGCAGCTACCTTTTTTAGCCTTTGTTTATTAATCTGTAAAATGGGGTTAAGACCTCCCTGAGAGTTATCAATGGCTAAATGGGATAATATGTTGATGGCAGGATCCTAAATTCTCCCGCAAGGGGTAGAAAGGGAAATGGGGGGCTGGCTTCCATCCCTGCTGCTGTGTTGGATGAAACCCTCCTCTCTCCTTGAAGGAGGTAAGTCTCCTCCATATGCTTAAATCCCTTAACTGGAAGATGACCTGGAACCTTCCAATTGGATCTGCTTCCTTGTCAGTGTAGAAGGGCAAAACTGCTCTCCCATCTCATTGGTATGGCATGGATTTAATTTCTAAATTCACATCAGGCTCTCTACCACCCCTATCCCTCTCTGGGTGGGGCCTATCTTTCTACAAGACTTGACAGTCTCCCTCTAGTGCCTTAATGTTGTTCTGTCCAAGGGCCAGACCTGAGAAATTTCTTCTGTAATCTTGGGCCTTTTGGCTAACTCCAATCTTTAGCTCCCCTTTAACCCTTGCAAAGAGGGGGTGGAGGATGAGAAGCCAATCTTTTTCCAGAGCCGTATTTGATACTGGGCCACTCTGGCTACTCAGTGTCTATCTCTGTTTCCTTTTCTGTAAATTCATTAATTTATTCTTCCAACCCGTATTTCCTGGGTGACCACACTGGGGCAGCATGGTGCACCCAGGAGGTAGAAGTGTGGAAATAACAGAGTGGGAAGAACTCTACTCTGAAGCTGCTGATCTTCTGAGGGAAAACAGACACACATATTGATCTCTCCAATACAGGGCTATTTGCCTCAGGAGGACCTCCAAAATTCTAGAACTTTCCACAGTGTCATGCTACCTCCGCCGTCCCCCCCTCCCCCACCGCCTTTCCTGAGCAGAGCAGACCTTGCATTGGACTCTTCAGCCAGAGGCTAATTGCTTTCCTATGGAAAAAGATCCTAAAATTTGAGTCTGGAGCTTTTGTTCATTTGGTTTTTTGGAATTATCTATTTTTGTAACAATCATGCATTACTTTTATATTCAAGATAAAAAAAACACACACACAAAAACATTCCCAGTTTGGGGAAAAAGATGTCAGGGAGGATTTTTTTTTGGGGGGGGGGGTTCCCCCTCTGGTGACCAGAGGCAGGTCAGCACACAGATCTAGGCATGCCAGGCTGCCCGGGGCCCTTGATCAATGTGGTTCTGGGAGAGGCTGCCTCAGTCTACCCAGTGGCCTGGCTCCTCACCCCCTCCTGGCTGGCCTGCTCCATCCTCAGCATCTATAGGCCTGAGCTCCACTTCCTATTAATACAAACCACGTGGCACCCTTGCTGTGGCGTCTCTAGGCAGAAAAGGGAGCCACAGCCGCCTAGTGGCTGCCAGGGAGGCTGGCAGGAAGGGGCATCTCCACCAGGCGTCTCCTGGGAAACAGCAAGCTCCCCAGAGAAGGGACATTTGGAAATAAAATTCCTGCCGCTGTGTGTTTGTATGTGTGCAGGGGCGGGAGAGGGAGTTAAGAAACCTCACCGGCCTCTTCTGCTTTTCTCTCTCAGGGAAAGCCTCTTCCAGCAGCTCTCTGGACTCGCACTCCCAACTCCAGCCCATTCCCCAGAAACCACATAGGGTCTGCTGCTGGGAGCAGACATGAGGCCTAGAAATGTACCTTCAGATTCATGATGTGGGTGGGGAAGAGTGCTGGACTGAGAGCCAGAGACCCACGTCCTCAGCTGCCCTGCCTCGCCCTGTGGCCCTGGTCCATCAGACCCTCTTCCTGAGTCCCGCTTTCCTCTGTGAAGTGAGGGTACTGCGTGAGATTGCCCCATTAGTCTTAGTCTTCATACTGGCCTCCTGCACAAGGGTCAAGAATACAGTTGGGGCATTCTAGGCCATTCTTTCTGGCACTTG